TCCTGCCTCAGCCTCCCAAGTAGGTGGGACCACAGGCGCCCGCCACAACGCCCGGCTATTTTTTGGTTGCAGCCGTCATTGTTCTTTGGTGGGCCTGGGCTGGATTCGAACCTGCCACCTTAGGTGTATGTGGCTGGAGCCTTAGCCACTTGAGCCACAAGTGCCGAGTCATCATTTTCTTCACTATCCAACCAATGTCTACTTTAATTCCCTATTTATAACCTATAAGTATCTTGGTGTTTTCTAGGTAATGTGCTAAATAGAGCTATCACTGAATTGCTCAGAGGCAGATATTTAACTTTTTGTCAAATTTCCCCGTTCTTTTCCTTTTAAGAAGTTACATAAGAATGTATACCCAAAGAAGTACATGGTACATCTAACTTATTATCATATATGTATATTAGTAAAGCTTAAATATTGCGTATGACAACACTGAAACTACTACTTTTTCTTCTTACTATTCTGTATAAACATTTAATTCTTGTTAGCAAATTAGGTTGAAAGGGGACACAGCAAGAGCTAATTTAACTTGTTCAGTTTAACCAGTCCCTAGCAACTCTACATAAATACATAATTTTTTTTAAAAAAAGGAATTCAGGCTGGGTGCAGTGGCTCACACTTCTAATCCCAGCACTTTAGGAGGCCAAAGTGGGAGGAAGCTTGAGATCAGGAGTTTAAGACCAATCTGGGCAAGAGAGCAAGACCTCAACTCTACAAAAAAAAAAACAAAAAAAAACTAGCTGGGTATGTTGGCCCACACTTGTAATCCCAACTACTAAGAGGCTGAGGTGGGAGGATTGCTTGAGCCTAGGAATTCAAGGCTGCAGTAAGCTATGAATGTACCACTGTATTCCAATCTGGACAACAGACTGAGACTCTCTCTCTCTCAAAAAAAAAAAAAAAAAAAAAGAGTTCAAAGCTTTGTTTACAATTCAATTTTTGAAATGTTCACTTGTCTATCTATACCCTTGAATCTTATGATAAAAGGTAAGCAAAGCTTGGCTGTGTGGTTTATCAGTCATTAATAACAGAAGTATGTGAGTAAGTAATAAGAGTGGTTATTATTATAGACTTTGTAATTAAGGAGCAATGAGTTCAAATGGTAGCTCTGTCACTGAGTAGCTATGTGATCTTGGACAAGTCATTTAAACTTAGTAAGCCTTAGTTTCCTCAGCCATAAAAAAGAAAAAAAGATATCTATGTCATGGCATTACTGTGAGGAATAAATGAAATAAGGTAAATATGTAAGGCATCCATCCCATTGTTATTCTTGCTATTTTTTCTGAGGGCAGAGACCGTGTCTTATTTATCTTTCTCTTCCTTGATACCTAAGTGCTGCCAGCTCACACTTTTTAATAGACAGAAATTTCAAATGGATTTAGCCATCATCAGATTTCACTGAGAATTGGTAGGATATGAGACCAGTTTAATCTGACTGTGCCAGAGTAGCCTATGTTTTGTTACTCTGGAGTTTAGCCAGTATTCTTGATTCTATGGGATTCCCTATTGCACAACATGAGGAAATGGGCAATGCTCTTCAAAATCCTGCCTGTGAGTTAAGAAACTGCAGTCAATTAGCTAATGTGATTCATCCAATCAAGGTTAAAAAAAAGTATAATTTCCTAATAGAAGTATGAGTGGCACCCCATAGTCACTGGTAGGAATTGTAGTGTAAATTAATTGTTGAGGTCCTAATAACTCCAGAGGCCAGGCTATTTCTACCCAGAGTAAGAAAATTTTGTTGTTCAAGAGCACTTACTCAGTCTAAGTGGGTGAAGGCAGAAGGAACGTTTATCTCCTGCACACTGAGCCATAGGAGAGACGCTAGGAAAACAGAGACATCTCTTGTCCAACTCTTGAGAGTTAATCAGACAGGTACAGAGGTTGAGAGGCCTATAATGCACCATGAACAAAACTTGAGTCTGTATATGCTGCATGTAGTGCAGCAAACAGTTCTTCTTAGGTGGGGGGATTGGCTCTACTATGAAGAGGGAGAAAGAGGCTGACCAGAGAAAAAACAAGGAGTTGTCCTAGCCTTCTCCTTTTGTGAGTCTCTGTGCTCCAAAATGAATTTGGCCAGAGACTGCTAGTAGAAAATACCAGTCAGGTTGTGTGGTCAGAAGCTGAGAGTATCAGAAAGAGGAAAGCAATATTGAAAAGTAGAATTACTGGCCTGGCACGGTGGCTCATGCCTGTAATCCTAGTAGTCTGGGAGGCTAAGGCAAGTGGATTGCTTGAGCCTAGGAGTTTGAGACTAGTCTGAGCAAGAACAAGACCCCATCTCTACTAAAAATAGAAAAACTAGGCAGGCATTGTGGTGGGCACCTATAGTCTCAGCTACTCGGGAGGCTGAGGTAAGAGGATTGCTTAAGTCCAAGAGTTTGAGATTGCTGTAAGCTATGACGCCATAGTACTCTACCCAGGGTGGCAGAGTCTCATTCTTTGAGTCTCACTAAAAAAAAAAAAAGAAAGAAAGAAAGAAAGAAAAGTAGGATTACTGACCTATAAGGAATCATGTCAATAAGTGTGTGGCTTGTTTCTGTGGCCATGCTTATCCTGTTTGCAAGTGCAGTGAAGCCAAGAATCTGCAGAGGGTTAAAAAAAAAAAGCATATGATTATCTAAATATTATGCATTGCTTCTAGGAATAGAAGTGCTCTGTTTCAAAACAAACAAACAAAATAAAACTTCTACATAGAAAAAGATGGAAATTCACAAACACTGAGTATGGATTTGTCTTATGTTTGTCAGAAAGAAGAAAGGAGTGAATAATTGACAGTAAAAAAGTATTAATAGTAGTTGACTTTGGATGGTGCAACTAAGAGGTATTTTTTTTTCCCTTTCCCCTTTATTATTTATTTATTTATTTATTTTTGAGACTGAGTCTTAAGCTGTTGCCCTGGGTAGAGTGCCATAGTGTCATAGCTCCCAGCAACCTCCAACTCAGGGGCTCAAGCAATCCTCTTGCCTCAGTTTTTTTCTTTTCTTTTTCTTCTTTTTCTTTTTTTGTACCAACAGGGTCTCGCTTTTTGCTCAGGCTGGTCTTGAACTTGTGAGCTCAAGCTATCGACCTGCCTAGGCCTCCTAAAGTGCTAGGATTACAGGCAAGAGCCACCATGCCAACCTCCTTTCCCCTTTTTAAAAACAATCTCGTCATATTTTTCAAAATTTTTAGAATGATACTGAATTTCTTTTGTAAGGAAAAAAACCCTGTATTTTTGAAAATTTATGAGAAAGAGGCAATAAATAAAAGTGCTTAAAAATAAGCATGTTTTGAGGGAATTAATCATCTATTGTTAATGGTTAATAAAGTATTATAAACTTAAAAATTGCCAAGAGAGTAGATCTTAAATGTTCTCACAACAAAAAATGGTAAGTATATAAGGTGATGGATATGTTAATTAGCATGATTTAACCATTTCTCAGTGTCTACACATATCAAAATATCATGTTGTACACTGTAAATGTACATAATTTTTATTTGTCAACTATACTCTCATTTACAAATGTTTAAGGAAAATAAAAATAAGTAAACTAAGCATGTTTTACAAATATAAACATATATGTATTTAAAACTGAATGTGTTCAGCTTTGGCATAGTCAACATATTTTTTTTTTAATTCTTATATTATCTAACCATGAATTCCAGACATCAAAAACACCTACTAGATTTGATCCTGCAATCCCATTACTGGGCATCTACCCAGAAGGAAAAAAATCCTTCTATCATAAAGACACTTGCCCTAGACTGTTTACTGCAGCTCAATTTACAATTGCCAAAATGTGGAAATAGCCTAAATGCCCACCAACCCAGGAACGGATTAACACGCTGTGGTATATGTATACCGTGGAATACTATTCCACCATTAAAAAAATGGAGACTTTACAGCCTTTGTATTAACCTGGATGGAAGTAGAACACATTATTCTTAGTAAAGCATCATAAGAATGAAGAAGCATGAATCCTATGTTTTCAATTTTGATATGAGGACAATCGATGACAATTAATGACAGCGTAGGGGTGGGGGGAAGGGAGGAGCAGAGAGAAAAAGGAGGGTGGGGTGGGGGAAAGGAAGAGCAGAGAGAGGGAAGGAGCAAGTGGGTGGGGTCTTGGTGTGTGCCACACCTTTTGGGGGCAAGACACGATTGTAAGAGGGTCTTTACCTAACAAATGCAATCAGTGTAACCTGGTTTCCTGTACCCTCAATGAATCCCCAACAATAAAAATTAAAAACAATTCTTATATTATCTAACCATGAATTCCAGGCATCAAAAACACTTACCAGAAATAATTCCATGGGAAACTCGATGGGATAGCGATTGAAAGAAATCCTGATACATTTGTTGATTCTCAGAGCAACAACAGCAGTTAGAAATAGCAGAATACTAGTGGAGTTAGCTTTTGGAAGGGCTAGACAATAATTCATTATGTTCTGAAAGAAAAATTATAGAGGCTTAGAAAGGGATATAATAATTGCATAAATCTAGAAAATGACACTTATTCTAGTTTAGTTTAGAAAGAAGCTCTTAGGTAGAGTTGCTAAAAGGTCTTTATGGGCATATCATAACAGTGAGGGTGGGGACATATTTTAAGTTGAAAAAGAAATTAAAAGAGGCAGTAATGTTCAACAAGGATAGAATACACTTTATTTGTTTCGGTGTAACAGAAAGGACATAGGTCATCTGTTCATGATATATAGCTACAGCATCTTGCAGGACAAATTTTAATGCAAATCATGTAAGTTTAAAAGACTGAGCTGAAGTTAGTTTTTTTTTTGGCCGGGGCTGGGTTTGAACCCACCACCCTTGGCATAAGGGGCTGGCACCCTACTCCTTGAGCCACAGGAGCCACCCCTGAGCTGAAGTTGTTAATGCAACAGGAAACATAGTCTAACTGGCATCTGCAATTAAACAGGACTTAGATCTAGGAGAGAGGAAACTATTCCTAGGACTCTAGCAGGAGTTTCTCTGCTGGGGCCCACTTCTCTTTGGAGGCAAGGGGAGGGACACTGTAACCGTAGGTGAAGGTTGAAATTACTCACGTAGAAGAAGGCGATGGGACCAGAGTGGAAACTAATCATAACCCCGAAGACGAAAGTCAGCTGGGACAATATGACGTGCAGTGCGGTAGCAGCCAGATAGGCACTGATTGCAGCCTCCGGAAGGTATGTGGTAACTAAGCCCAAACCCATCATGCCCATTAACAGCTGCAGGGGTTCAGATGGAAAAGAAAAACAGAGTGGGGCAGAACATCTTCAAACTAGCAATGACACCAGTGGCCCTATCCAGGGGCCCCAAAGCCCCTTCTCAGAAGGGCTTCCAGTAAGTAAGTTAAGTTAGGCCCCTTGTATAACTCTCGAGTCTCTCCTTCCCTAATGAACAGAACTTGACCAGAAGCTCCCAACAAGCACTAACTCACATCTTTTTCTCCTTTCTTCATGAGCATTGTTAGCTAGGTAAATTAAATTCAGGAATCTACTGCCCCCTAGGTTGCTTTGGGGAAACAGCGGCAAGGTGATCAAAAAAGCCTTTGCCTTATTAAAGGCCCTTTCCTTAGAAGCTTTGATAGTCCTTTTCAGGAGAGGTTTAACAACCCTAGTAGTACATAGTACAATTATCTATGAGGAATGCAGCATATCACAAAGGAAAAGAGAAGTCAAAAAAACTGGGATCCAGCTCAAATTTCTTGGCCTTTGACTCTTTGAGAATGATGGCACTGAATTTATGTGTTCAAGATTACGTATGTACTGAATATATAAATAAAGAAGGTATTTTATAGGTCCAATACATATATAAGATATAAATATGTTAAATAAGAAAATTTTATACACACACAAAAGATCTAAAAGGATAGGCACTGAACTGTTACAGAAGCTACCTTTGAAGAATGGGATTAGAGGTTGGGGATAACACTTTCTATACTTTTTTACAGTTTGAGCTAATCAACTTTTATTTATTTATTTTTTTGACAGGAAATTTCTTTTTTAAATTATGAACTCAATCCATTTGGTGTATTTCAAAAGGGCAGTACTTTTCTTCATTAATCAGTGAAAGAAGTTAGAAATCAACTTCCAGACTCAGTGCCGATAGCTCAAACAGCTAAGGCACCAGCCACGAAAATCAGAGCTGGCAGGGTCAAATCCAGCCTGGGCCTGCCAAACAACAATGACAACTACAACCAAAAAATAGCTGGGTGTGTTGACGGGCACCTGTAGTCCCAACTACTTGGGAGGTGGAGGCAAGAGAATTGCTTAAGTCCAGGAGTTGGGAGATTGCTGTGAGCTGTGACATCATGGCACTCTACCCAGGGTGACAGCTTGAGGCTCTGTCTCAAAAAAAAAAAAAAAACCAAGAAATCAACTTCCAAAAAAATCAGCAAATGGCAAACAAATTTCCTTAAAGTCACAGTCACATATATAGTGCATCCTAGAAAAGAGGAGGGGCAAGACAGGTTCCACCCACTTTCATGACTTTCATCAAATACTGGATCTACTCAAGAGGTGGAGAGAAAAGGCAACTTTCAAAAAGGAGTATGTTGGCTTGTGTCCATAGCTCAGTGCTTAGGGTGCTGACCACATGCACCGGGGCTGGGGTTTGAATCTGGCCCAGGAATGCTAAACAACAATGGCAACAACAACAACAAAATAGCCTGGCATTGTGGCAGGCGCCTGTAGTCCCAGCTTCTTGGGAGGCTGAGGCAAGAGAATCGCTTAAGCCCAGGAGTTTGAGGTTGCTGTGAACTGTGATGCCATGGCAGCTACTGAGGGCAACATAGTGAAACTCTGTTTTAAAAAAACCAAAAAGGAGTATGTTATTAAGTGAGGCATTCATTTACTATACTCCTTCCTAAGAGCACCATGGGGAACACGTTTTCTAAACTAGATCTAAAATGTGGAACGTGGAATCAATCCATCCTCTTCCCCTTAAAAGGCTGTCCACTGGTTAATGAATTAAAAAAAAAAAAAACACTAAAAAACAAATCACACAGACAGTGCCTGTGGCTCAGTGGGTAGGGCACCAGCCCCAAATACCGAGGGTGGCAGTTCGAACCTGGATCCTGGCCAAACTGCAACAAAAAAATAGCCAGGCATTGTGGCAGGGGCCTGTAGCCCCAGCTACTCGGGAGGCTGAGGGAAGAGAATCACCTAAGCCCAAGAACTGGAGGTTGCTGTGAGCTTTGACACCATGCCCTCTACCAAGGACAATAAAGTGAGAATCTGTCTCTACAAAAAAAAAACAAACAAAAAAAACAGATTCCAAAAACAGAAGGGGGGAATAAAAGGACACTAAGATGTCCCAGAATACTCTCTAGAGTGGAACTAGGGAGCAGCTTCAACAATTCAAATTAGTTGGGCAGCACCTGTGGTTCAAAGGAGTAGGGCACTGGCCCCATATGCCGGAGGTGGCTGGTTCAAATCCAGCCCTCTGCCAGAAACTGCAAAAATAAATAAATAAAGGCAATTTAAATTAGTCTATTACAGAGTCATCACAAGCATATCTTGCTCTAAAAAAAAAAAAATTTTTTTTTTTGGAAACAACAAAAAAACTAGTACACAATTACTCAAAATTAACTAGTATTGGGAAGGGAAAGGGAGGGCCATACCTAGGTGCCTCATCTGACACCATGTGCAGTGGATGCCTGTATGTAAGTGCAGGGCATTTGTCGTTATTGCAAAAATTTTAATTTTTTTTTACAAGTTGTCCCCCTGGGTAGAGTGCCATGGCATCACAGCTCATAGCAACCTCCAACTCCTGGGCTCAAGCGAGTCTCCTGCCTCAGCCTCCCAACTAGCTGGGACCACAGGTGCCCACCACAACACCCAGCTATTTTTTGGTTGCAGCTATCATTGTTGTTTGGCGGGCCCGGGCTGGATTCAAACCCACCACCTTAGGTGTATGTGGCTGGGGCCCTAGCCACTTAAGCCATAGGTGCCAAAACATAATTTTTAATCTTTAGTTTGATTTAAACATTGCTTTTAGTATGATGCCATCACCAGCTGTGCAGAAAGGGCTCTGGAGAGATGTTCAGCAGCACACACCGGCAGCTCTTCTTCAGTTCTGGAGGTTCCAGGGCAGCCAATATTGCTTCATCAACTACATTCTTTAGGCCTATCTGTGTTAAGTGCAGAACACTCCACATACTTGACAGCCTTCAGGTCAGGGGCCAGCTTTTCAGCAGTCTCTGGTGTGATAGGCTTCTGTTTGTTCTTGCCAAGTTTTTCAATAGTAAGAGTCATCTCTGAGATCAATTTGGTTCTCAACAAGCAAGAAAGGGAGTCTTTGGACAGTGGTGAGTTATCTCAGACACCCACTTTTCTTTCACATTTTCAAATGAGGATGGAGAGACCACTGAAAAATAGACTAGAAATACATCTGTTTGTGGATAATTCAGTGATCATAATCTGTCATAATCCTCTTGCCCTGTAGTATCAGAAAGTTCAAGAGCATATGGCTCATCACAAATGATAACTGTGACTGCATAGTTGTCAAAAACAGTTGGAAAATATTCAGATGGAAATTTGTTTGTTGTATAGGATATCAGGAGACATGTTTTACCAACAGCACTATAACCTACCACAACACACTTAATTGTCTACATTGCTGAAATAGTTTTATATTCACTTTAAATATTTCGAATCTGATGTTGACCCCAGTGTCTCCACTAGGGCATTGGCAGCACTCAACGATTATCTTTTATAATAAAAAACACAATTATTGGCTGGGCACATGTGGCTCAAGTGGCTAAGGCGCCAGCCATATATACCTAAGGTGGCGGGTTCGAATCCAGCCCAGGCCCACCAAACAACAATGACGGCTGTAACCAAAAAATAGCCGGGCATTGTGGCAGGCGCCTGTGGTCCCAGCTACTTGGGAGGCTGAGGCAGGAGACTCGCTTGAGCCCAGGAGTTGGAGGTTGCTGTGAACTGTGATGCCACAGCACTCTACCAAGGGGGACAGCTTGAGGCTGTGTCTCAAAAAAAAAACCAAACCCACAATTGTTGGGGTAGGTAGATCAGTTAGATATGAGTAAGAAGAGAGGAGGCGAGTGAACTGAGGGTGAGTGTGTAGAAAGATAAAGGGAATTTTTGTGGGACTCTCTTGAAATAGCTTGAGAATTCAAGGTGAACTTGAGAGAATCAGGGATGGATGCCATGACATATCCATAAAAGGAGACTATAAAGGGAGGAAATCCACCCTCACTAGTTCTTGGTACTCCATTGGACAATTCAAATACTGTGGCACTTCCACACTGGATGAAAACAATAAAAGCCTAGAGATCCTAAGCAGCCAGGCCAGAGTCCTGGTGGACAAAGGCCTGCTCCTGCCCTGTGAAGTGTACTTTCCCTTCCTTTCAGCTTGCAAGACAGTCCTTTTTCTACCTTTGCTTTGTTGCCTGCTATCATTTTTCATAGTGGGTAGATAAGAAACAAGGGATTCTGGGCACAACCAGTAACACCATTAGAAAATCCATGATTAGAGGATGAGTCCCAATCCCCTTAATTTTTCTTTTTTTTTTTTGGAGGCAGAGCTAAAGCTGGCACCCTGGGTAGAGTGCTATGGCGTCATGGCTTATAGCAACTTCCAATTCTTGGGCTCAAGTTTTGTTTTTTTTTTTTCAACTTTCTTTTCTTTTTTTTTTTTTTTATTGAATGGTAACTGTGTACATTGATGCACTTTGGGGCTCAAGTTTTTGCCTCAGTTTTTCTATTTTTAGTAGAAACGGGGGTCTCAATTTTTGCTCAGGCTGGTCTCGAACCCGTGAGCTCAAGCAATCCACCTGCCTTGGCCTCCCAGAGTGCTAGGATTATAGGCATGAGCCACCATGTCCGGCCCCCAATCCCTTAAGAGAGTAGGTTAGAAACTGGTACAGCTCTTGGCCAGGCGCAGTGGCTCACATCTGTAATCCTAGCACTCTGAGAGGCCGAGGCGGGTGGATTACTTGAGTTCGCGAGTTCGAGACCAGCCTGAGCAAAAGCGAGACCCCATCTCTACTAAATATAGAAAAACTGTTGAGCCCAAGTTGGAGGTTGCTGTGAGCTATGATGCCACGCACTCTACCCAGGGCACAGCTTGAGACTCTGTCTCAAAAAAAAAAGAAAATTGGTACAGCCCAATGAAGACAATTCATTAAGTGGGGGAAAGAACAAAATGGGAGTCTTAGAGCCTAGTATTGTCACCACTTCACTGTCCATTGCTCTCAGAAAACAAACAATTTAGAACCAATACATCTTTTGGCTTTAAAAGCTTTTGCTTCAAAGCTTGTCATCAGCCATGAACCGCTTAATCTCCTGTCATTACTGCTCATACGCACTTATACTATAGTCAGGCCAATGTACCTCCTAGTTTCTGTGTAATTGGCTGATTCCTGTTTCTATGCTTAACCCACAAAGTCCTCTTTTCCTTTTTTTTTTTTTCCATTTCTGCCAGTTTGTGTGCATTCTCTTTTTCAAGAGCTCTATAAAATTCTTCTCCTTAGAGAGGTGTGGTGAAAGCATGGTTCCCAGGGTTGGAGAACTTGGCTTCAGCCCGGGCCCTGCCATTCACTGGCTATGGGAGTGTGGACAAGGTAACTCTCTGAGCCTCAGTTTCCTCATCTTCAAAACGTGACTAATAAACCACAGTGTTTTCTATGGATTAAAATTATATAACATGCGTAAAACAACTAGTTCAAATGTGAAAACAGTGATAGATAAAAATACATATCATTTTCATGCCATCCTTTCCTTCCACCCTTCCTACAAACGGCAAATATCTTCAAATACCACAGAACTCTTTTCCCCCCATAGGGGTGTGGCATCAGAGTCAGTGTTAACATTAACATAATATTCTAGGCAGCCACTGCCAATCAGTCAGAGCTGACCTGTGAGGTGAAACCTACCCCGCCCTTACAGAAAGCTGGTACTAAATGTTGAATGAATGAAAGAAGGGACTCAATAAATAGTTGTTTCCTTCCCAGACAACTCCAATTCAACTAAACATTGTTCTTTTACTTCATGTTCTTTCAGCACTGAACTCTTCACTTTTATAAATATATATATATATATATATTTTTTTTTTTTTTTTTTTTGAGACGGAGCCTCAAGCTGTCCCCCTGGGTAGAGTGCCGTGGCATAGCTCACAGCAACCTCCAACTCCTGGGCTCAAGCGAGTCTCCTGCCTCTGCCTCCCAAGTTGCTGGGACCACAGGCACCTGCCACAACGCCTGGCTATTTTTTTTCAGTTGCAGCCGTCATTGTTGTTTGGTGGGTCCGGGCTGGATTTGAACCCACCACCTTAGGTGTATGTGGCTGGCACCTTAGCCACTTGAGCCACAGGCGCTGAGCCATGAATATTATTTTGTACTTCAAGATAACCCGGAGCATAGATTCTGGAGACAGACAACTGAAACTGAATCCCAGTTTGGTATCTGTCTCACTGACTGTATGACTTTGGGCAATTTACCTAACCTCTCTCTGCTATGTTTCCTTAAAGTAAAGACGACCCTAATAGCTTATCCTCGAGAAGAGTTGTTGTGAGGATCAAATGAAGTAATGCAGGTAAAGTGCCTAGAACATTCTCTAGCACATAGCAATAAATGTTAGTTAGGTATTATTATCTAGTTCAGTCTCTCTCTCCCGCCGTCCTCCGTCTCTCTCTCTCTCTCTGTCCCTCCTTTATTTCTCTGACTTGTCCACAGGGAAGGACGCAGACCCCGTCCAGAGCCACCTCGGGAGCCACCTCTCCCACCCTGGCATCCTCTGTGTCCCCCTGCTCTGATTCAAACTCCTTCATGCGCGTCACGCAGTGGAGGTGCTGGTGCTCACAGGCTAGGAAGTTGGGGAAGCTGTCGCACTTGCCCTTGAGCTGCGTGCAAGCGATGAGGTAGTGGGCGCAGTGGCGCTGCTGCGGGAGCTTCAGCTGTGCGTGGTTCATTTTCTATTGCATGGCCACCATCTCGCATTCCTTGCGCTAGGGGAAGACAAAGTCTAGCAGGAAAGTGGGAATCCACTGAGGAATCTCCCCGGTAATAGTGAGCCAGGTGCGCCCCCAATGGCTGCTGTCGCTGCAGGCCCCTCCTGTAGTCTAGGGACTCTTGCTCCTACCCGGAAGTACTGCCCTTTTCCCAGACTTCTTATTGGATTTTATTTTTAATTTGAGGCAAGGTGTCGCTCTGTCACCTAGAGTTGTAGAGTGCAGAGCATCATAACTCACTGCAGCCTCTAACTTCAGGGCGCCAGCGATTGCTCCTGCCTCAGCCTCCTGAGTAGCTGCGACTACAGGTGACAGCCACCACGGCTGGATAATAAATTATTTTTTGTAAAGATGGGAGTCTTTCTATATTCTCCATGCTGTTCTTGAACTCCTGGCCTCGAGGAATCCTCCCACCTCAGCCTCCCAAAGTGCAGAGATTATGGGTGTGAGCCACCACGTCCAGCCTGCTAGTTTATTTTTTGACAAAGCTCTGGCAGAAGGGGAGGATGCCACCTTGTTACTTCCCGGTAGAGGCAGAAGTCCAGGTTCCCCACTTGGCCTTTACTGACACCGGAGGCAATAGGAATTCTTCATTATTGCTGAACAAAGTTGAATGTTCTGGTTCCCAACTAGGCCTCCCATTGATAGCACTTTGGCTGGGAGAGGCAGGAATGCCTTTACTTCTTCCCATATGGCCTCCACTGACACCTAAGCAGAGGAAAGTCCGCCTCACTACTGCTGCTGAGAGGGGAAACACCTGGATCTTCACTAGGCCTCTTCCAGGAATGAGAGTTTTGACTTCCTATTTAGCTTTCTCTGCTACCACCCAAACTGGGAGGTTGGGTGTCTTATAGCTGGGTGAAGGTAGAAGTCTAGGTTCCTCATCTGGCTTTCGTTGGCCTGGGTGGAGGTAATAATCAGCTATGGTTTTTTTTTCCCCTTGATTTTGGCTGGAGTATTTATTTATTGTCTAAATGTTTTTGGTCTTGCTAGCCTTTCCTCGCCCTGTGGCTATAGAAAAGCAGGCTTTTTACCTGTGTGGATAACATGAAAAACAAAAAACAAAAGCTGGCTTTTGTTGTGAAAAAAAATTTTTTTTGTCTATATCTGTTAGCATTTTGAGTTTTGGGCTTCTTCAGCTCTATGCTTAGGTATATCTGGCAAAAATAAAACCCAAAGAAATCACCACAGTGTCATTCCTTGGGTCTTGAAATTTCAAGCCATTCTGCCCTTCTCATCATCTTTTAGAGTCTCGTTTTGTTTATTTTATGTATCCTGTCCAACATTTTTAGTTGTACTTCGCAAAAAGAATAGGGAAAAGTATATCCATTCCATCTTCCTGGAAATGGAATGTCCTCTCCTTCTTTAGATGAAAAAAGCTGAGGTTTGAAGGAGGGAAGAGAACATGTCTGAGTCCACTTAGATAATTAGGAGGTTGCTGACATATTGCTTGTATTCTGTATTCTCCCACGAGATTGAACTGCTTAACCACAGGAATTCTATCCTCTTTTTTTATTTTTGGTTTCTCTTTAAATACCAAATTCATTTCCCAGTATTTAGTAATTATACCTTATTGATGCTCACTATGTGACAAGCTCTGGGCTGAATACTTTGCATGCATTTTCTCAATCCTCATAAGAACACTAAAAACAAATATTACTCCCCGTTTACAAATGAGGAAACTGAAGCCCACAAAGGGCCAAGTTTACTGAAGTTCGTACAGCTCATAAGTGTCAGGGCTGGAGCCCACTATGATAGTCTGCCTTTGTAGGCTTCCAGAAAATCCTTCCCCAATGAAATACAGTCCCCAGGGGATCAATGAAAAATCAGCTATAAAATAGGTTAGTTAGGAAAAAAGAGAAAAAAAGCTGGAAGATGTGACTTTAATTTAGCAGGTAGGAGGCTCTCAGATTAAAATTAAAGACACTGCCAAAATAAGTTTTGGACTTTTTTTTTTTTTGAGACAGAGCCTCAAGCTGTCCCCCTGGGTAGAGTGCCATAGCATCACAGCTCACAGCAACCTCCAACTCCTGGGCTCAAGCGAGTCTCCTGCCTCTGCCTCCCAAGTAGCTGGGACTACAGGCGCCTGCCACAACATCTGGCTATTTTTTGGTTGCAGCCATCACTGTTGTTTGGTGGGCCCAGGTTGGATTCAAACCCACCAACTCAGGTGTATGTGGCTGGCGCCTTAGCTGCTTGAGCCACAGGTGCTGAGCCATAAGTTTTGGATTTTAATAAATCATTATATTATTGTCCTTTAGCTGTGGCCCCTGTCAATGCAGAAAAAGGATTCCAGGTCTGACCCTAATAGTTACTAACTCAAAGTATACTATGTGAGCCTATTAAGATATTCTTGCTGAAAGAATATAAATTAATTTTTAAAAAGGTAAAATCAGGAATGGAACTCTGGACCATAGTCCCTAGGATCCTTCTTTGTCTTAGAGAAGAAGGGACTGATGAGAGTGTTCAGTATCTCATCCTAAATCAGTGGGGGATGATTTCTGAGGAGGGAGAAGTTTTGTCACCAAGGAGACAGCCTCTTCCACACATCCTACAAGTTTCTAAAAAATAAATCACTGGAGTTCCAGATGTATCACAACAGATCATGGGAGCAATTAAAAGAAGGGCTCTCTTTGTAGTCCCTTTACTCAGTTTTTTTTTCAGGGGTTCAGAAGTTCAGATCCTACCTGAATAATCCCAGTCAGAAAAGTTGTGGTTGCTACCACGTTTAAGGATTTATTATAGCCTGTAAAGTAGTAGGGGACAGAAAAGTCTTCTTTGATGAAAGTTCCCAGGATCAGGTGACCGTTGTTGAATGGGCTCACTTTCAGAACATTAATCATCAGAGCGCTCAAAAGGAAGAAGGAACCTATGGGAGAAGATGTTAGAGGCAGTAGGTGAGGTTTCCAGTCTAGGTAAACTGATGGATATTGACAAAGCAAGGCATGGTTTGATTTTGTATTGTCCTTGATTTGAAGAACTTTTCTTCTTTGAAAGTGGCGATCGAGGGTGAGGCCTGTGGCTCAGTGAGTAGAGTGCCAGCCCCATATACTGAGGGTGGTGGGTTCAAACCTGACCCTGGCCAAATTGCAACAAAAAAATAGCTGGGCATTGTGGTGGGCACCTGTAGTCCCAGCTACTCGGGAGGCTGAGGCAAGAGAATCAATCGCCTAAGCCCAAGAGCTGGAGGTTGCTGTGAGCTGTGACGCCACAGTACTTTACCCAGGGCGACAAAATGAGACTCTCTCTCAAAAAAAAGAAAAGAAAGTGGTGATCAAGAAGTAATAAAGCAGGAAAGAGAACTGTGGCTGCACATATCGCCACTGAATTTAGATTTGGTGGTTCAGGTATTTAGTCTCTTTATTTAGGGGCATATGGAGTGGGACGGAAAGAGAAATAGGTGTCAGGTTCAGCTGTTGTGCCTGCTCTTTAAAAGTGAGATGATAGTGAAAAGATCAGAAAACAATGCTAATTAATAACAATTGGAAGAAAAATAATAGACAACACTTCCAAAGGATTTACTACGTGCAAGATGACACTGAGCTAAACCTGTTTCAAACATTATTTCATTAACTCCTCATATTGACATACACACATATAGGAGCAAAGGCAAATCTTACCTTTAAAGTTACCTAACAGACACAAAACTCTAACAGCCTTATAATCAGTATTTGTAAAAAACGGTGAGGTGCCCAAGAAACTTACAAATATGGGAATAAAATTATTCTCTTGGTGTTCAAATGTAAAATGAACACATAATGGATTTGAATAAATGTATGTAATACTGTTCTTAAATAAGGCAGAGTAGCATGTCACATCTACAAGGATGGGATACTTATCAGACCAAATATACAAAACATATTAGGAGAAAGAGTGTGCCAATCAGAGTGGTCATGTTGGCTGAATGCTCAGTGGGGAAGCCCAGCAAAAGGAATCTCATTGAATAAATGTCAACTTTTAACAAGTATGGTCCTTGAAATAGTCATTACTAATTATAAATTAGTAGATGGACTTTTGACTCAGGGAAGGAAAGTACTTATCTCATGGACTTTAGTGTTTTGATTATAATGACAGCATTTTCTCATTGTGAAATAAGAAGCTGGCATGCTGCATTACAAATCAGCCCCATGGAGTTAGGTTATCATGGGTATAGCTGCAAGATAGATCTGGGAGTATTGGCAAAATCATTTCTGGATCTTTTGCATCGAGGGCAGCCAGATTCCAACATGTGGCAATTTCATCAGGAAAAGTACCTCCACTCTCTTATTCTTCTGGGGAACATCTTGCTAGCCTGTTTTTTTTTTGTGTGTGGTGACATTAAAAATGACACACTAGGCTTAGCGCCCATAGCACAGTGGTTACAGCGTCAGCCGTATACACTGAGGGTGGTGGGTTCAGACTCAGCCAGGGCCAACTAAACAACTGCAACAAAAAAATAGCTGGGCATTGTGGCAAGCGCCTGTAGTCTCAGCTACTTGGAAGGCTGAGGCAAGAGAATTGCTTAAGCCCAAGAGTTTGAGGTTGCTGTGAGCTGTAACATCATAGCACTCCACTGAGGACAACATAGTGAGACTCTGTCTCAAAAAAAAAAAACAAAACAAAAAAACAACTTCACACTAGGGGAAGTATTTATTTCTACAATGTGAACACTAACCATATGGATGGAACGTCCATCTTCTGCCTCCTTTCTTTCTATCTTAAAGATAGTTGTTATTGTTGTTGCTTGAGACAAGGTCTCACTTTGTTGCCTGGGCATGAGGGCAGTTGCATGATCCTAGCTCACAACAATCTCAAATTCTTGGGTGCAAAAGATCCTCCTGCCTCAGCCTCCCAAGTAGCTGGGACTACAGACATGCCCAGCTAATTTTTCTATTTTTAGTAGGGACAGAGTAGGGGAGTCTCACTATGTTGCTCAGGCTGGTCTTGAACTCCTGACCTCAAGCAATCCCCTACCTTGGCTTCCCAAAGAGCTGGAATTATCAATGTGAGCTACTGTGCCCAGCCTAAAGATGCTTTTATATTGGGTTCCTTAGCAATAACTAAATGATTGAGGTGGAAATTTCATCAACCTCCTGTGTATTTCAGTACTGAACTCACCAATGGACATTTGATGACATGATCCAAAGATTGCATAAATTACTGAAGAACAGAAAGCTGCATAAGTGACATTGAGAGGAGGAATCAGTTGCCTTGTCAGCAAACTAAGCGTCAGGCCTGAAAAGCAAGATGATTTAAGAAAAGGTAGCTTGGATTTTAAAAGGCATCTTAAATAAAAACTGCAAAGCATATTTAAGATATAAATGATCCTGTGTGTAGCCAACTGAGTGTGGTAGTAGTATCCTTTGACCTACAGCCCTTCATTCATACTTTTTATTATCTCCTTAATTCCTTTCTATTTTGCCACATGCTTTTACACCTCAATTTTGTATCATAGGCTGAAACAACTTTCACTGAGGTTTTAATGCTAAACATGGAAAGCAAATACTGCAGCAATAGACAGCTAATTCCAACAGCTGAGAAGCAGCTCTTGTCCCAGCCCTAGTCTAGCACAAGAAGGTTCTGGGAATTCTCCAAGGCTGAAGATAAAACTGAAGAACAGGGCAAGAATTGCACTTAAATGGCTTGACTCAAAGTTGGTGTGTGTTTCTTCTCTTCCACATGCCATTCACTCTAATCTCTTCCTTTAGCTCCTTTTTCAATACATATTTTCATTTCTGGGAAGCATCATGAGAATTTAGAAATGTTGATGCAAAGGAATTAAGATACATGGTGTCATTATTTCTTTTCTTTTGAGACAGGGTCTTGCTCTGTTGCCCTGGGTAGAGTGCAATGGCATCATCACAGCTCACAGCAACCTCAAATTCCTGGGCTCCAGTCATCCTCCTGCCTTTGCCTCCTTAATAACTGGAACTATAGTGACCACACCCACTAATTTTTTCTATTTTTAGTAGAGATGGGGTCTTGCTCTTGCTCAGGCTGGTCTTGAACTCCCTTCTCAGTCTCACAGAGGACTAGGATTATAGGCATTAACCACCATGTCTGGCTGGTATCCTCTTTTTGATGTTTCAAACCACCACCTCCTGCCCTGAGGGCCTGTCCTCAAATTACATCATACTAATATACTCCTTCAAATTTAGTTATGAATTTAGTGAGCCAGTTTATTATCTTAGAAAAGCAAGTCTTATTTTATCATAAAGACATGTGCACATGAATGTTTATAGGAACACAATTTGCAATCCACAAAGATGTGGAAATAACCCAAGTGCCTTTCAATACATGAATGATTAATAAACTATGGTATATGTACAATATGCAGTATTATTCAGCCATAAAAAAGATAAAGATTTTGTATTGTTTTTCTAAGATAATAAATAATCTATAGATTTAATGTAGCAGGATTTTTTATAGATATAGATAAGCTAATTCTAAAATTTATATGAAAGAACAGCTAAAACAATTTGAAAAAAAAGTCAAAGGAATCACACTACCTAATTTTAAGACTCTCTGTAAAGATATAGTAACTACATACCACAAAAGATATGTGATATTTGCAAAGGGGTAGTAGACATAGAGACCAACGGAACAGAACAGAGTTCTGAAATAGACCCACAAAAAATATGGCTATTTGCAAAAACAATTCATTGGAGATAGCCTTCTTTTAAAATTATGTTGAAAGTGCAACAAAAAAATCTTGCACTAATTTCACATAAGTGAAAAACATTGACCTAAACTTTATACATTATATAAAGATTAACTAAAAATGGATCATAGGTCTAAATGTAAAACATAAAATTATAAGATGTTTAGAAGACAGTCTTTGTGACCTGGGAACTAGATGAAGAAGTCTCATATATGACAGTAAAAGTGCTTTTAATGGATATAAAAGAAAAAATAATTGACAAATTGGACTTCATAAAAATTATAGTAGTTTGATAAAGACACTGTCAAGAGAATAAAAAGATAAGCTATAGACTGAGAAAAAGTATTTGCAAATCACATATTTGACAAGGGACTTATTTCTAGACCATGTAAGGAATCTCACAAATCGACAATAAGAAAACAAAAATCCCTTGGCCAGGCATGGTAGCTCATGCCTGTAATCCTAACACTCTGAGAGGCTGAGGTGAGAGGATCGCTTGAGCTCAGGAGTTTAAGACCAGCAAGAGTGAGACCAGCCTGACCAAGAGTGAGCCCCCATCTCCACTAAAAATACAAAAATAGGCTATGCATTGTGGAAAGTGCCTGTAGTCCCAGCTACTTGGGAGACTGAGGCAAGAGGATTGCTTGAGCTGAGCAGTTTGAGGTTGCTGTGACCTAGGCTGTTGCCATGGCAGTCTAGCCTGGGCAACATGGGGAAGGGAAGGGTAGGGAAGGGGAGGGAAAGGGAGGGGAGGAGACAGAAGGGAAGGGGAGAGGGAGGGAGAAGAAAGAAATCCTAATGAAAATGGAGAAAGTACTTGACTAGGTACTGCAGCAAAGAAGACATGAGGATAGCAAATAAGTATATGAAAAGATGTTCAACCTCGGCTCGGCGCCTATAGCTCAACCGGCTAAGGTGCCAGCCACGTACACCTAAGGTGGCGGGTTCGAATCCCCAGCCTGGACCCGCCAAACAACGACGGCTGCAACCAAAAAATAGCCGGGCGTTGCGGTGGGCGCCTGTGGTCCCAGCTACTTGGGAGACGGAGGCAGGAGACTCGCTTGAGCCCAGGAGTTGGAGGTTGCTGTGAGCTGTAATGCCACGGCACTCT